CCAAGGTCTTAAGTGTGTGAGGCAGCCGCTACATCCTCAGCCCTGCGATGTCCCTCTTCTTCCAACTTCTCATCCTCAGACCTTTCTCATCATGGACACAAGACACACTGCCTTCCCAGTCAAGAGAGATGAGGCCCTTAAGCTTGGGCAGCCATTTGAGACCATTTGGTTATTTTTTAAACTTTATTGTAAAATATAACAGAAATACAGACATCTGTATTAGTTATTTTTCTTGTAGGTTGGCAGAACACCTGATGACAGAGGAGAAAGAACTTCTGTTATTCCACGGATGAGAGGATCTAAGTAAGCTACCATGATGGGAGAGGCAGGGGGCAGGAGCTTGAGGCAGCTGCTTGTGACATGACCACTGAGCCAGGCCGCCAGGCCGCATCTCAGACCCACCCTCAGTGGCCCCCTTCCATCAGGCAGGCCCCACAGTCTCCCAGAACAGCACCCGCCACAAGCTGAAGCTGAGTGTTCAAACATGAGTCCATGGGGGTCATTTGTTGTTCTTGCTGAGGACCAGGGATGGATTCCCAGCACTCATGGGTGGTTGTGAGGAATGGGTACTGACTCGGTGCCTCTGTAAGAGCAGTCTTGTACTTTTTTTTTAAGTTTATTATTTCTTTTTTTAAAGATTTATTTATTTGTTTTTGTTATGTATACAACATTCTGCCTCCATGTCTGCCCTTGCACCAGAAGAGGGCCCAGATCTCACTTCAGATGGTTGTGAGCCACCATGTGGTGGCTGGGAATTGAACTCAGGACCTCTGGAAGAGCAGCCTGTGCTCTTAACCACTGAGCCATCTTTCCAGCCCTGAGCAGTTTTGTTCTTCAGCAGTGAACCATCTCTCCAGGCCTTGTAGCAGTAGGACCAAGAGAAAGACACTCTCAGAAAAGACAACACACTAGGAGGGTGGGCACAGGCCTCTTAAAAGAGAGTCACTGTTTCCCTCTTCTCTATCTTAGTTTACAACGTGAGTCTAGAGTTAATGGAGACTCAGCTGAGAAATCATAGGAAGACTCTACAATAGTCACAGAAGAAAAATGCAATTATTTTCTAGAATCTTGGAATAAATGTATAAATGCAAAGTTGCCAAGACCGTACGTGTATACCTGTAATCTCAGTACCATAAAGCTGAGCTTTGAGGACCTCAGGTTTGCTCACTTGGGCTTCACAGTGGATTCCAGGCCAGCCTGGACTAAGTGGTGAGACCTTGTCTCAAACAAGCTAAAAAAAACGACAATAAAGTTGTACTGTTGAGAAGGTCAGCAGGGAAAGAAACATGCCGCCAGCCTTAGTTCAGTCCCAGAGCCTATGTGACGAAAGAGGAGAACTGAGTCCTGAGAGCGGTTTTCTGGCTGATGTATGCATGCATACACACACACACACACACACACACAAAACACACATGATCACACACACCCAACACACATGCTCTCACACACAACACACACACACTGCTCATACACAACACACACATACAAACACACACAACACACATGTTCACACACAACACATACACACAGAGACAAAGCTATTGGTCTTAAAACTTCTGCTTGTTATTTAATTTTTAATATGGGACTCACAATAGTCCCAGACTGGTTTTGAACTCCGGGCTCAAGGAATTCTCCCACATCAGCCTCCAAAGGTCCTGGGACGCTGGTGTGATTGCTTTCCCCAACTTACGGAAATAAGCCTTATTTTGTGGCATTAGAGAGAAGGTAGTCTGGAGACAAAGCTCATTTGGTAGCATGCTTGCCTAGCCTGCATGATACATTGGCTCCCCCCCCCCACATCCCCCATGTGCATAACAGCACATCCAGGAAGTAGAAGCTGGGATCAGAAGTTCAAAGTCATCCTTGACTACATAGTGAGTTTGAGGCCAGCCTGGGTTACATAAGAAAATGTTAAAGAAAAGAAAAAATTAGGAAGAAAAAGAGATGAGTCACCACTGTATCTCAGCAAAAAGAAGGCTCTTCGAGGCTTGGAGCAGGGATGGCACAGGGTTTAGAAGCACTACAAATGCAAACCTCACCTCAGCATCACCAAAATCAGTGCACAGCCGGCTTAGGGAAGACTTAGGCAGTTTAAATCAAAGGTGTGCCCAGTAAGAATTACCAGTCATCTCCTGACCAGACAGAGCTTCAGTTTTTGTGGTTTTGTATTCCTTGTGTGAGATTTTTCATCCTGCACACCTCTAGGAGCTTGAGGAGTCCTAACTGCGCATCTTCCCATAATGGCATCTGCCTTGTGCGAACCCCTGTTTTTACTCTGCCACCTATAAATAAAGATGTTCTTGGCCATCGCAGTGGGTGAACTGAAACTCTGCTATTTTTTCAGTGAGGAAGCTCAAAGGTCAAGAAGAAAACAACTGTAAGCACTTGGCAAAACATCTGTGGAGGTAGCGCTTCAGCCTGGCTCATGATTCAGGGTCAGAGACGCCAGTTGTCCTTCCTCCTTCTCTGTTTGTAAAACTCAAACACCAGGAAGAATTGAGATAGAAAGGAGAGGAGCATCGTCCTCCCAATTCCCAGCACCCTCACCCCCCTGGAAGACCCACTGGTCAGACTCCCAG